TAGCAGTCAGTTTATAATTTTGGCAGCACTGTTGAGCATTTTGAAAATGTATTTTCATGCCTCTTAGTATTTTTATAATACTTTTCTACTTTCACTTGAGGAACATTTTGAATGCAGGACTTTTACTGTAACAGAGTATTCCTACACTGTGGTTCTTCTACTTTTACTCAAGTACAAGATCTGAGTACTTCTACTTTTATTAAGTACAAGATCTGAGTATTTCTACTAAAGTACAAGATCTGAATACTTCTACTTTTACTCAAGTACAAGATCTGAGTACTTCTACTACTAACAGCTGTTCACCAGCGGTGCAGTCTGTGCCACAGTGACTCCGCACAGTTAACGAACACACCGTAGATAATGTAGCTGACCCTCATCCCGGAGCAGCAGAGTTCAGCCGGCCCGACAGGCAAGAAGACTCGAGCACACAGCTCGCGCTTCATATATTAAAAAATAACACCATGCGCACATAACAGCTCGCGACCGCAGATTATTTCGGCGATTAGATAAAATGTAAATTATATTTGACGCAACTTTAGTTACATTTCCATGACTTTTCCAAAACTTTGGGAAAAATATTGTTTTCCATAACTTTTCCAGGGCCTGGAATTTGCATTTTGAATTTCCATGACTTTTCCAGGTTTTGAATGACCGTACGGTACGAACCCTGTATAGTTTAGTTTGGCATCTGATTATGGGGATTAAACAATACACTCGTTGTATTTGTTACCTGTTGGTTACTGACTTGGTCGTCACTAGGGCACTTTTAATCGTGTTGCTGCGTGCTGCTGCACCACACACCCGCCGTGGCCTGTCTGACTGAGTGACTGACTTAGTGATGTGTCGGTCGCGAACGAGCCGGCGCAAAGAGCCGGCTCTTTTAAGTGAACGACGGGAGCCGGCTCTCGCCCGCGAACGAGCCATTTTTGCGGAGGGATCTAGATCGGCATGAAGGCACATTTGCAATGTGCACATTATCCCGCTTATTACATGGCCACATTCTCAACAAAGTAACGACATGACTCCCAATAGTAATGGAAATGCTTTTATGGATTTAGAAAATGATTTTATTGATTTAAAAAAATAGTTTTATGTATTGATTTAAATTGACATGCATCCGCTAAGAAAAGTAGTCCGTTGTTACTGTTTGAACTAACGTAGCAACGGCAGGAACTGCTTCGATAGTGTTTTTGATTACAGATTTGAAAACATCGTTGCTTGCTTTAAAAGTAGCACAATTCATTATGTCAAACCTTGGAAAGTATCTAGATATCCCTGCCCTAATGCTAAAGTAACTGGCAACTGAATATGTGTCGCAGTTTGATGTCTATGTCTGGACCGCTGCGTAAAAAGGAGGGTTTCTGCCCCGTTACTTCTCTTCTTACTTCTATAAGAATAAAACACGGAGGACGGAGATCTCTTTTTCTCCCCCTCTTCTGACAGCCCAGCAGCTGATCTCAGAGCACGCTCCCCTCTCCTGCAGGGGGGCGTGGTCAGCTGCAGCTCACAGAATCAGCCCCCTGCAAAAACAGCGCTGGATGGAGCAAATAGAGCGAAATGAGGCATGGCTAAAATACAGGATATTTTTGGTATTTTGAAAAAAAACCTATATTTATATACTTTATATAGGTCGATACAGTAGCCCCTTTTTTTAAATAGTTTTTATAGGTGTTGCTATCTGTTTTGTGTAGCGTGGTTCGACAAGCAAGTCAATGCATTCATTGGGTGGTATCAGAGAGTTGCACGGGTCTGTAAATGCAATGAAAACAATTGGCCACAGCAAATCATTTATATTAAACATGTAATTTTTACTTTTGAATACTTCAGTACAAAGGATGTATTGAATAATTTAAGTGATATGTGTACAAATATAAATCATTAGTCAAAACAGGGCTACATTTGATTTAATTAAAAGGTATAATAAGTGGTAAACTGAAGAGCCGTTTGGGAGCCGAAAGAGCCGGCTCTTCTTGGTGAGCCGAGCCAAATGATCCGGCTCACCAAGAAGAGCCGGAATTCCCATCACTAGACTGACTGTCAGCTCTGCGCGCTCACGTTGAGAGCAGGGAAGGGAGGGGCTGCAGCCAGGAGTACGGGAGTGCCGCGGGGCACGCGTGGGGATGTCTGACAAAATTACAACGCGCATTTGGGGCATTGTTGTATATATTAGAAGCTTTTAATCCAGAATTGATCGATGTTACCATGAGCCACATACAGTACACTGTAATTTTTTTTTTAAACTGTAAAAAACGAACTTTCAAAAGGGCACATTGCTGTCCAGAGGGCAAAACGGGCAGGTGCTCAAGCACTACCTAGAGTCTATGTGTGCACGTCTCTGCTGACATCCCTGTGCTCCTCTGAGTCTGGGGGTCCGGGGATGTGAGGACAGCGCGAGGACACAGACAGGGAGGTTGCTTTACTTCAGGGGTGGCCAACCCGCGGCTCTCGAGCCGCATGCGGCTCTTTGCCTAGTTTCATGCGGCTCTTCAGTTCATATCGAATTGTATATGTGTGAGTTTGGGGGAGAGACATTGACTCCTGACTAGTGTTGCACGGTGTACCGATACTTGAAAGGTACCGCGATACCCTGCCGTTAAAAACGTTACGATTCCGCCGTTTCATTAGTATCGGTACTTTAAGAATGACGGGGGAAAGTACTCCGGTGAGAAAGCGCCGTTTTAATAAGAGCCGTGTGTGTTCAGCGCTCTGCTTCCACTCCCTGCACTGCAGCCTTGCCTGCAGTCCCTCCCTCTCAAGCACGCTCTAAGTCCCTCCCCTCTCAAGCACGCTCTAAGTCCCGCCCCTCTCAAGCACGCTCTAAGTGCCTCCCCTCTCTCGTGCACGCGCTAGCTGCCAGAGCATGTGAGAAAACGAGAAGCATGGCTGCAAGTGGGAGTGCAGCTGCCGCTGCGCCTCGGCTTGTTGACAACAAAGACGCCAGAAGCGAAATTTGGAAGTATTTGAGCTATATCTCTGACAGTGAGGGCAAGCCTACGGACACCACGAGGCCTGTCTGTGAGACATTTATTAATTTTATTTAATACGAATTCTTGTCATTTATTTTATTTATTGTTCTCATTGTTTAAAAGGTTATGTTATGGTTATGGTTCTGGTGTGAAATAAAGCACAATAATTACATTTAAGACTGTTTCCCTTTTTTTAAGAAAAGTATCAAAAAAGAATCGGAATCGCAATTCTTGACTTGGTATCGAAACCAAAATGTTGGTACCGTGACAACACTAGCTACTCCTGACAGTTAAACCTGATATTTAGTAGGTCTGTTAAGTATTGAATGCTGATAATTCTGACGTAATTTGGCCGGTCAAAGTTGTTTGGGCTCGGATAAAATCGCTCCGTTACTTTCGTCCCGTGTTACTTTCGTCCCGGCTCTCCCTATGTGTGTATGTGTGGTGTCAGGTGTCAGTATGAGAGGATGACAGCGCGTCTAATTTTGATGTGACCCAAGAGCCAATCACAATAATACCTGCGATGCAGTGAACCAATCACCTTTGAGGGGGGGGAAACCTATCGTTGATTAAACACTATCCAGTGTTTCCCCTACCATTGTGTTGGAGGGGCGCTGCGCCCCGCCAACGGAGCCCCGCGCCCCCCCCTGAAATTCAAGGTGTTTCAAAAATATATATAATATATATTTTTTAAATATATATATAGCACCAAATTGCAAATAATCTATAACTACTGTCACTTTTCACATTGAACATGTGCTCTTTTATTAAATAAACTAAACGCTTTCATTTTAAGTTGTGAGTTTAGTGTTTTTGACCCTAAGAAACACTGATGCATTAATCAATAACAATAATCCACAGCTCCTCTCTCTGCTCCAGAGGATTTAAAAAATATATATCCCAATGCCACAAAGATGCATCAGTGACGTGGTTGAAATCTTGTCTCCAGAAAACAAAAAACTGAAACAAGCGTTATCAGTGACTGTGTGTTTGATGTGGCTCTTTGCAGTAACATAGAAAAAATGTGGCTCTTAACCTCTGACTGGTTGGCCACCCCTGCTTTACTTCATAAAAGGAAATGGTGGTCAATATTAACAACATAGGAGTTAAAACGCTTAATAACCTTCATTATGCGTTAGAGAAAGAACATAAGAAAGTTTGACAAAGATGAGGCTGTTAATCGGGCAGCGGATCCGCTGTGTGTAGAAAGAGAGAGAGACGCTGAGCTGCACCGTGCAGCGATCAGCTGATACGGAGCATAGATAGAGCTGCAGTCCGCGGGGCTCGGCCTCGCCTCCTGTCCTCACAACTCTTATTAATCCCGGTACCGGACAATTGATATTTGTTCCTAATCGGAACCGTGTTTTGCTTCCCAACCCTGCCACTGTGCTACACTTCCCACCCGCCCCGCCCCGTCTAACTGTACAGAAAGCGGCGAGATGCATTTCCTTAGGAATCGACAAGCAGAATCTAAACGAACAATGGCGGACACGTACAATTTGCGATTGAGTTCTGCCTTTTGTAAACTGAATGTATCAATAATTTGTCAATAAATCAGGCCGAAAAACGTCACTTGTCCGCCGGACAAGTCAATTGAAAGATCTACTTGTCCGATATTGTAAATAACACGTCCCGGACGGTGGGACGTGTACTTTTTCGCACACTGGCTTGTGTGGTGACACGTTATTGGACATAATTCACCTTGCTTATTGTGTTGCCACACGGACCCTTTAGTGGGGAACACCTGTAGCTTTAGCTGCCATTCCTGCTAGCTCATCAGGCAGAGCAGTGCATGTGTTAACCTCTCTGAAAGTAATGGATAATAAAGATTGGAACTCCATTCTTAATACACCGCCTCCGACTCTCTTTTCACGGCACTACAATATACAGTATATGTCACATATTTTTATATATATTTGTTTTTGTATTCGGGATTGTGGGAAACTGTATTTTGATCTCTCTGTCTGTACATACAAACTGGAAGATTGACAATAAAGTTGACTTTGACTTTACTATTTATAAATCTTTTCCCAGAAGAGATGTCCTCCCAGGTCCGACTGCGGCTGCTGCCCAGAGCCAGATGCATGTTCGACGAGCCGCTCCAGGTGAAGGTGGCCGGGCTGAGGTCCAGACAGGTGGTCAACCTGAGAGCCAGAGCCACGGACGAGAAGGGAGTGATGTTCAGCTCCATGGCCACATACAAGGCTGATGGGAGTGGGGAGGTGGACCTACAGAGAGACCCCTCCCTCAGCGGGACCTACACCGGGGTCCAGCCCATGGGCCTGCTGTGGTCCATGAGGCCAGACACCTTGCACAAAAGGTTCACAAAAATATGTTCACTGAACCCCCAGGTGGTGAAGTTCTCTGTGCACGAGGAGGAGGGCGGGATGCTGGCGGAGGCGACCAATGAGAGGCTTCTGGTTGGAGACGGGGTCATCCGGCGCCCGGTGAAAGATGGGAATATTCGTGGAGTCCTGTTTACTCCCCCAGGTTAGTCCGTTTCTCTATTCCTCCTCAAATCAAACAGTAGTGCATGGCCACAGCCTGATAAAGCTATTTCCTTTTTTCACACAAGTCCATTGTCAAACAAAAACAATTATAATGACTTCAGGAACCAATATGTTGCTGAGAGGCTGAGGTCGGGCCTGGTTGTCTGACACGCTTGGAAAAAGGATGTGTTCAGGCTCCAAAAATGCTTTGAATAAAATCTTAAATTAATGAAAATGGTTGGCTTATTATCACATGTACAAGCATATAGTCTGTATAATCCAGTTATCAAAAGTTGTGGTCAACAAAAAATACACCGACCTTCTCTTCCCCACACACACACACACACACACACACACACACACACACACACACACACACACACACACACACACACACACACACACACACACACACACACACACACACACACACACACAGGGGACATTATATTGACTTACATGCATTTCCTGGAGACTTATCCTAACCTTAACCATAACCAACACATGCCTAACCCTAAACCTAATCAAGTCTTCACCCTAAAATGAATGATTCCCCTCATGGGGACCTCCATTTTGTCCCCATAAGGGAGGCGAGTCCCCACACGTGACTGTGTAAACATATTTAGGTCCCCACAAGTATAGTAATGCTAGGCCACACACACACACACATACACACCTCACACAGGTGATTATATTTACTATGAGTGCCGCCAATAACCATGGGACCCAACTAATTCAACCCATAATTGATCACAAAATAATCAATCATAATAATATATACAAAGACTAATAACAAAGTATAACCAGCCAAAAAACATTTATTAAATCTACAACACAAAGTACCACTTTCTGACATTCATGGCTCCAACAACACTATTAATTAAAAACATAAATCATATAGAAGAAGCTGACATAGTCACCGGGACGTCACAGATTAGTTTGGCTGACTTCCATTTGTAAGCCTTGATGTACGCATTTTGCTGTTACCTTCTTGTTTTTTTGGAACAAGAAGTGACATGAGAGGTCGGAACAGGGATTGAGATCATAAACTCTCCAAATCTTTTTGTGTGGTTTAATAAATCATGTAATCGAGTAAGCATGGTTATTTTGTCATAGACTTCTATACAATCTGACTGGGCAGTTGGATAGAGCTGGATATTAGAAATACTGCAGGTTTAAGGCACTCGTGCATTGGCTTCAGTTTTCAGAATCAGAATACCTTTACACGTCCTACAGAGGGGACATTTTGATTGTTACAGCGAAGTGAAGAGCCAGAAATAGCAACATATTAATTCAGATGCAAGCACAACATATTTAAGATAAAATTAGAAATGACACAAATTACACCGTACAAAAATACACATCAAGGTGGACAACAGAAAGTACCAATAACAGTTTAAAAAATAAATAAGTGTAACTGTAACCGACCTGTAGTTCTTAATCTATCTTTGTGTTTGTCTTTATTCAGGAGAGGGTCCGTTCCCCGCTGTGTTGGATCTGTACACTTTTGGTGGAGGTTTGTCAGAGAAAAGGGCCTCTCTGCTGGCCAGCCGGGGATTTGTGGTTCTGACTGTAGCGCTGTACGGCTACGATGACATGGCGAAGAACATCAAAGAGGTCCATCTGGATTATTTTGAAGAAGCAATAGCGTTTTTAAAGAAACAAGATAAGGTGAGTACAGGCCACATTTTTGAAAATCTTCACTGAAGGTGCTGAAGTTGCAAAGATGTTAGATTCTTTGCTCAGTGGCAAAAGTCCCATGTATGATTACTTACAAAATAGCTAACCTTATGGGCATCATAATAAATGCTGAAAAGCTTTTATCCAAAGTGACTTAAAGTGCATTCAACCACGAGGAAACAAACTCAAAAGCAAGAATCCCGCAGTTACATTTTCTATCTATAAACCAAACCAGATTCTACTGCATTAGCTTCACTTAAAGCCAAAGAAAGCAGCTCACAGTTTGCTTGTTTGTCCACAGGTTGGCAGTAAAGCAGTCGGTGTAATATCCATTTCTAAAAGTGGAGATCTTGCCCTATCAATAGCCTCTAACCTGCCAGATGTTGGAGTCACGGTGTGGATCAATGGCTGCTCTGCCAACACCATGTTACCCCTCTACTACAATAAGAGCCAGATCCTCCCCGCGTTAATGTTTGACCTGAGCAGGATGATTCCCACAGACTCAGGGGCCTTTAACTGCAAATATGTGATGCAAAATGCACTGGCAGAGGAGAACAAAGCCACCCTGATCCCCATCGAACGAGCCGAGGGACGCTTCCTCTTCGTGGCTTCGGAGGACGACCTCAACTGGGACAGCAAGGCCTACATGGAGAACATGGTGGAGCGACTGCAGCGACACGGGAAGGACAACTTTGAGAGTGTGTGTTACCCCGGAGCGGGACATTACCTGGAGCCTCCGTACGGGCCCTACTGCCCCTCCAGTGTCCATGGGGTTGCAGGCAAGCCGGTCCTGTGGGGGGGGGAAGCAACGTCCCACGCAGCAGCTGAAGTCCACCTGTGGAGAAAGATCCAGGAGTTTCTCAGGACTCACCTGAGCTGTGATGCTCCGCAGACTAAAGCCAGATTATAGACAGAAATATCATCATATAGATAAACACACGGATAACTGTAAATAATTGTACAGCGAATCATGTCATGTTTGATTTGATGATAGTTGAAGCACTGAGAGAAAGACATGCTTAATTTGTTGCCTTAGATTTGTAAATGTACTTATCTATGCTTTTAAGAAAGTGACATGGCTGTGTGTGGATGAGTTGAACAATGATTGAAACACATACAATTATAAAGACTTTTCAATCAAGAAAAAACCTGAATTTTCATTTAATTATTCATAAAAAATAGCAAAAGCCCCAACATCCTATTTAAAAAAAGGTTGGTCCTCCTCGTCCAGTGTTGCAATTCCAATTCCACATTGATTGGATTCACAAGGTCACATGATAATAACGCTATAAAAAACATTACAAGAGTTTTCATATAAATAAAAAAGCACTTTTTGAACATTAAAGCATGTCACAGTAGAGGAACATAATACAAATATGAAACTGAAAATGAGCATAATAGGGCCCCTTTAAGAAGTATAATGTGTTTATTTTTTTATGAATAAGGATTGGAAAACTGTAAGTGCAGTAAATACTTAATAATGGCGGTTTCCATGTGTGAAACTGTTTTGTTTTTACGACCAGCACTGCTTACAGCTCTTGTATTCATTCCAAACATCGGGAGAAGGCTTGATGGAAATGTGTGAAGCTTTTTATGGGTTTATAAATGCTTCAACCTTCCCTTCAGGCCGCAGCCTGGAAACAAAATAGAAGAGAACTATAAAGGAAAGGAGAGGCTGCGGAACAAAACATGACTTATTAGAAACTATCGCATCCTGATCTTTCTCTCTCGCTCAGTGTTCTGAGTCCAGAGATACAACGTTATTGTTCCTACCAGCTCACTACAGAGCAAGTTCATCAAGATAGCAGCAGCCGCCTTGATCTGCCTCCTCCGTTTATTGAGCAGCATCGTAGAAAAGCTCTCTGCCTGCCGAGCTCTCTTTGTGTATATGTGTCTGACTGCTCCCTTTATGTCCTTTCTCTCATCAGCCTCCAGCTTTTGAAAGGCAGGGAATTATATTTTCCACTACCGTATACATCCACCAAAAGATGCCCTATAGGATCAGATGCTGGAGCTCCTGTGTTCTTCAGTACAACTGGGTTTATGTTAGCAACAGAGCCTTTGTGGAGACACAGGAACACTTGGAGGCTGTAAGAAAAGTTATGTGTACGCTTGTGCATAGTGCAATAACACAGAGTGGATGAGATGATGTTAACACGACTCCTTTGGGGAACATAATTAGAGAACTGATGATAGCAATGTGCTGGTGCTATGACTGTCAGTGAGAGAAAACTGACATTGTTTCCTAACATAAATAGGTGGCTCTGAATAAAGCATGTTGAATATACAGTACAGTATGTAGCTAAAGTAAATAAGTACGCTCTTCTAACCAGCTAGATTAGACCATTTTTATTTTATATTTCCTCATATGTACTTCTAAAAGATGTTGATTCATTCTAAGGGAACCTAATCTGCTCATTTTCAGGTGCATATCAGTATGTAGTGTCTCTGCTGGGACATGTTTCCATGCTTTAATGTTCAAAAAGCTCTTTATTCTTCTCATACTGCCTGTGCTGCAGCACCTCTTTTCACCCTCTGTCTGAATCTGATTGGTTAGCTGGCCGGCTCTGTTGTGATTGGTCAACCGCTTAGAGATGTCCCGCCCCTTAGCCTATCACATACAATGTGTTGTAGCGCTAGCCAATAGAAGCGTGAGTGTTACACAGTGATGTCACTTTGATCAGGAAATAAACAAAGGAGTCCAATGGAGGTGTGGGGGAGATACAATTTCCCTCTGGAGGGAACACACAGATTGTAGCCTTTGCAGACCATTGACATCCACAACAACCACAACACACAAAAGGAAAGGGAAAACCCCCCAAAAGCTTAATAAGGCCTCCTTACCAAAGATAACACATTGGTTGCTCACACGTGACAAAAACTCCTTTTAGAATGACGTGTCTCAGGCGATATGAATGTTAAATTAAATCCTTGTGATCCTTGTTTCCCTTCTACATCCTCCCCTCCCCCCCCCCCCCACATATGTTTGAACTTTTGAACTCCCAGTCATGAGTTCACTCCTCACTTCCTTTAACTCCTCACTGTGTTTGACTGTGACTGTTGCCAGAGACAGAGGAGCAGGATACTGTAAACACATCCAGAGTGTGTGAAGCACCTGCATCATATATCTCAGAAACAAAGAAATGATACACACTCACACTAACACACTGTTGTTGTTTTGCTGTGTTTATAATCTTGCTTTAAACTCACAGCTGTTGCTAGTCCTCCTCTGACAGGATATCCATCACCACTCTCGCTGTAGTGATTGTTGCTGCAGGCTCCTTGTGTACACAGGCTATAAGTACTGCATTTTTAATGAGAAATTATGACAAGGAAGCAGGAAGCATTACTGAAGAGAAACACAATCCTGAAGTCCTTATTACCTAACTGTATTACATTTAAACTGTAGTCAGATGCCGAGAGTATAGTTGTCTTTGCATGATGTAGATTAAATGAAAAACAGGCCCCTTGCTCCTCTTCAATGACTCATTGGTTTGAAATATGAGTTTGTTGTTCTGTTTGTCCTCTTTAAGCTTCCTATCACATTATGCAATCTAACAGAAATATACAAAACCATCCTCCCCCAAAAACTCCACTCCAGTGCAGCTATCAGCCATTAGAAGCATATTACAACAACAACTCACATAAAGGTCCCCTATTATACTGTTTTTCATCAATATATTATAGGTCTCAGATATTTATAAAATATGTCTCTGAAGTGTTTGGCTCCAAACACATCATTGCAGCATTACCCATAATCCCCTCTGTTTCAGCCCTGTTTCAGCCCTGTTTCCAAAGTGCTGATTCTCTGTCTGTTACTTTATGGCGCGTTTCCACTGCAGCGAGTAGCTCGCTTTAAGCGTGCCGAGCCGTGCGGGGCCCGTTTTTGGTTGCATTTCCACTTGGCCTAGTTTTGGCCCGGGGCTACTTTTTCACCTTTTTTCTGGCCCGACTAAATCGTGGTTCTCGGGCCAGGAACAACCAGGCTGAGTCGGGCTGAGTATGCTAAACCAGAGAGAGAATCGCTGGCAAGGGGGCTACAACGACAACAACATGAACATATTTGACCGTGATTTAATTGTAATACACGTTTCAAAATGATGCCGAATTAACAACATACTGATACCGGTTAGTAAAAACCATAATTAATGCTTTGACAAGTCTGCAGACAGACGGCAGGCGAAAAACCCTTTTAGAATGCGTGCTTTCTAAATGGAGCTTGGCTAAGCTAACGCTATATATGCTCCGACCGTCTACACTCACAACAACGGCCTATACAGACATAAATAAACCAGCGACTGTATTCGCCATGACACAGGCTGTCTGTGGTTTGTACTTGTTTAACTTTTGTCTAGTTTCTGAACAGATATGAGGAGCTGTGAGCTCTGAGTGCTAAGAGCTAACGGCTGTGTTGTTTTTCTGGGGCTCTCATTGAAGATGACGTCACGGCTCCGCCTACACTGCGTTACTATAGTAACCAGTGGTGTAGTGGGCGTTGGACGCGGGGGTACGCCGTACCCCCACTTATTTGGAGCACAATCTTTTTTTTAATAGTCTAATAAATATAAAATCATTGCCAGTGTTCTCAGTTGCAAGTGTGTATTTGTTGTAATAATGACAAAAACATAATACATTTCACAGTAATTATAATACAAAATAAAAACGATTTCCTTAAAGAATTATGATTCATCATCACGCTCATGACCCCGCGGCGAGCACGGCGAGCCAGCTCACTTCCCGCCGATTTTGCGGTAGCTCTTTCCCTCAAGAATGCTAACGAAAAAGCTCTTGGCAGGCAAACATTTTTTACTTGACTTCTTTTCTAAAAAGAATATAATTCACAAGAAGAAAGAGGCTAGCAGCACCGAAGCTACAAGTGAAGTTGCTACTAGTATAGGCCTACATCACCAGAAGAGCCGCCTAAAGACGTGGATAATGCTAGCACTAACGTCAACGTTAGCTGCGCTAGCAACGTTCCGCTGGCTAGCTCAAGCTCACCTTTCCCAGAGGTATGGACGGAGGAGATGTGGCGGAGGAAACAAGAGGCTACCCGTGGATACACTGCAAAGCTGGGAAACTGGACTGCAAAGTTTGTTCATCCATTTCGGATTTATCAGTCTTCAAAACGCAAGGTGTGTGTGTGTGTGTGTGTGTGTGTGTGTGTGTGTGTGTGTGTGTGTGTGTGTGTGTGTGTGTGTGTGTGTGTGTGTGTGTGTGTGTGTGTGTGTGTGTGTGTGAGAAAAGCAGCGCTGTCTGCTTATTTGCAATGTAGGCTAGGCCTAATCAGAATAATTTCAAGTCCAGATCATCGTCTGCTTAGTTGCAATACTGTAGTTTATGCAATTTAGGCCTATAAATTGTTTATGTAATTTATATGCCAGTGTGTCCATGATTTTGAGTCTGTGTGTGTGTTGAGCGCAGCGCCGTCTACTTTTTGCAGTACAGCAACTATAGGACTAAGCATGCCGGTAGTTTCTTTGGGCCTGTCTGCCCGTGTTGTGAGTGCACTTCGCACGTGCGCACTTGTGTGTCGTTCAATGGACAGCTCCCCCCCCCATCCCCCCCATCTATGTATATACTCGCATTTTAGACTCTGTTACTAACTGTATATCTGTAGACTTGGTATGTCTTAAATGTCCGGTTAGGATGTATTAGAACGAAATCTAAAATGAAAATTGTAAATAAGCAATCTGTATGTAAAAAACCACCTGTATGTAAATTGTAAATAAGCCATCTGTATGTCAAATATGTCTTATATGTCTTAAATGACATGATGAATTGGAAATGGGGGACCCTGATGTAAACAAGACGAAAGTCTTTCTCTGGTCTGCATCCCCTTAACAATTGTATGTTTTGAGCTGTACTGTACTGTACCCAATATACAAGCTGTTAATAAACTTTTCAATCAATCAATCAATCAATGGCATTGTTTGGGATTACCTAATTAAAATAGCGTCCCCCCAGTAAAAAAATCCCCACTACACCACTGATAGTAACTGCCCCAGTTCCTAAACTGTAATGGAAGCGCAGCATTAAAGTGAACCGGGCCTAATAAGGCCTAACCAAACCGAGCGAGGCCTGCAGTGGAAATGCAACACAACGGTGCTCTAGTGCGGCTTTCACACCAGCGCTTTTCCATTTCTAGCTCCGAGCAGGAGCTTTTCTGGTTCAGCTCCGGTTTCCCTTTTCTGCTCCCGCTCTGTTCACACCGCCCAGAGCTGATGCTGCTGCGTCATGACGTCACCGTTTACGTCCCTGCTTCATAAAATCCAAATCGCGCGGAAATCCCTCACATCGACAACAACAACAATGGCCGATTGTATTGAAGCGCTGTTCGCTTTGGTTATCCTTTTACGAAACGAAATGGAAGGCATCGGACGACTTTACAAGGGACGACCTTACTTGGAACTTTACAAACATCACACGCAGGCATTTTGTTGTTGTTCAGGAGGTTGATCCCGCCCATGCCCCTGCCCCCGCCTTGAGCTAAGAGGCGGTGCCGCTGCAGTGTGAAGAGGAAATACTTTTCAGGCTCTAGCTCCGAGCCGGCCCTGAAAACGCGTTGGTGTGAAAGGGGCATAGGAGGAGATTCAGGTGATAAGGTGGGTGGTGATTGGTTAATGGTTACACAAGCCAAAACATCGTTATGACATCATAAAGTGGCCAAAATCTGATCAGCTCATTTTCAGACAGGTTTTTATGTAAATGGAGGGACAAAAAGAGAGAGAATCTTTTTTCCTGAAACTTACAGAATCTCTTGACACAGAGGGGACACATGTTGATGTAGAAGATACGTGAAAAAGTGGAATTTGCATAATAGGTGACCTTTAAATAAGAAACACGATCTGGTGAAAGCAGGGTTGACTGTTTTTATGATGCAGAGCTGTGACAAAAACTAAATTTCCACTCTTTATTTAAAATATATCACAGTAGAGCTACCATATCATATCCTTTTAATTCATTCAACAAGAAAACAAGGAGGCAGTGATTTAAGAAACATTTATTCTAATCCCTGTGTAGTTCAGTGTCTCGTGTGCTTGGCAACGCTCCTCAGGCCTTCGCCAAGATGCAGACGAGGAAGAGTGTGAGCCAGGCTTTGAAAAACAACGGATCAAAGACTTCATGTTTCTGGTAAAAGCAGAAAATGTGCTTGCTGGTTCCCACGGGTTCGGGTGTTTTTAAACTGAGACCTGCGAAAGTGCACTGCATGAAGAACAAAGGTGTCCTGAACACATCTGCATGTGTCAGAGCTGCATGGAAGTGGGAGTCATGTCGGTCAGTGCTGTAAAGATTTATGTATTAATAACAGAAAAATACAGAAGATGGGGATGATGAGAAAATTATTTGACTATGTAGATGAGTTCACTTTCATAAAACAAACTTTCCATCAACCTTTCTGCCTTCACTGAGGTTCATATTCTCTCATATCTGACATTCTCCTGAATCCATCTTTTTCACATGTGTTCTCATTATCGTTTAATTTAATTTATTAATTTATTTAATTTATCGTTTTAATTTAATTTAATGATGTTGTTTATTCTGTAACATGATGTTAGAGCCATTTTACCTTTTGTTATTATTGTCTGAATGTTGGGCTTAATAATAATATAAATTAGATTATACTGTAAATTATTGGCTATTTTTGTGAGTCACATTATGGTTTAAAATGCATTAATTTAAGGCTCACTTATTATTTGTTATATGTGCGTCAGTATCACGTGCATGGCTATGCCTATATATGGTAGGTTGATAGGACACAGCTGGGGGTGATAGACGGGGAAATGGAAAAGTCTTTTGACCGTGTTCTTTTTGTTACTTTGGAAAATGATACACTTTTGAGTTACTATGAAGCGAAGAAATGTGTCCTCCTGTATGCACCGTGTGGATCAGTGAATAAAGCTCATCTGATTCAACTACGATCTCCGCTGAATTGTTTGGAAACAAAGAGAGGCGCGTCAAAACCCACAACCCCGATAGAGGTGGCTATTAAATGGTAGACAAGGATTAAAACGCCACCACAATAGTCAAAAGACTCCGTAAACTGTGGATAAAGACTTCGAAGGACAAGCACAGGATTCGTGTGGATTCCAGCTCTGCTTTGGAAACAGCGAACGGACGTTCTAAAGTGCCGAGGAGGAGGCCGTGAGTAAACCACGCCGGCCCGGAACTTATGAATGAGACGCTGTTTACAACGGGATCGCTTCGTCAAACAATGCAAGTACTGATGTGTGCATAGTTACGGATGTTTGACAAAACGAAACGGGAAATCCATCCAGTGATATCCTGATGCTTACTGAAGATAATCCGCAATTGCTGTTGGAATGCTTAAACAATGAAATGCATTAACGAACTATCACGCAGCCAGGAAGCGGACGTTAAAGGAATATTTGGCACAAAAACAGGACTCGCGAAGAGCTGTTCTTGGAAATATTAATGACTTTATTTCATGTGGATTAAGTGAAGAAAAAATTAAATAAACCATGGATCCTGATATACCTCCAGCTGATGTTGCCGCGGCAGAGGAGAGATATAAAACTCTCAGCCAATCGCGAAGAGGAAAACTTGGAGCATGCACCCGCAGAATGAATGAAATTAACCCATTACTGGTGCGAGGTGGAGATGTGGAAAAGGTGGATGAAGCTGTTGCAACGTTCAAGATGTTACTCAATGAATTTATGGAATGTCATGGAATTGTTCAAATGCTTTTATCTGAGGAAATAAGGGAAACTGAGAGAATAGATTGGTATGAACCAAAAATGTCTGCATTCACGAATTTCCTTAAGGATGTGGAAACGTGGAAAAGCTCTCAAATGGATCCTCAGATACTGATTGAACCCCATGACAGTGTTTCCAATGCATCAACCAGGAGGAGCTCAAAAGCAGGATCAGCAACTTCTTCTGCTTCTTCAATCCACCTCAAAATGGCCACAGAAAGAGCTGCCCTCCTTGCCCGGGCAGCAGGATTAAAGGAAAAGCATGCACTTGAAATGGAAAAGGCTCAACTGCAAGCTAGATCCGAACGGATAGAAATGGAAGTCAGCCTAGCTGAATCTGATGCAAAAATGAAAGTCCTGGAGCACTTTGAGACTGGTTCACAAAATCCAACACAAGGAAAATATGATGGCATGAATGACTATTTAAAGGACTACAGATTAAAAACACATATGTCAATGGATGCAGAGCCGTCTCCAATTTCCTTTGCTGAGTTCGGATCCATTCCCAAGACACCACTTCAAAGGCTTATACACCAACAACCAAGACCACCAGAAAATATTGATAATGCAAATCAAAGCTCTCAACAAACAGCTAGAGATGCAGGAATTACAGGGACAAATACTAATGACAATTTCCTGACTGTGATGCAAAGACAAAATGACATTGTTAATTTACTTGTACTTCAACAAAAACAAGCATCACTGCCCACTAGGGAAATCCCAGTCTTTGATGGCAATCCCCTGAATTATCAAATATTTGTGAGGGCATTTCAACATAGCATTGAGGAGAAAACCACCAGTAACCAGGATCGATTATATTACCTGGAACAATATACTTCGGGATCCTGCAGGGAACTGGTGAGAAGCTGCCTTCACATGGATGCTAATAGTGGCTTTGCTGAAGCTAAGAGACTGCTAAAAGTGCATTTTGGAGATGAGCTCAAGATAGCAAGCGCATATATGGGAAAAGCTCTCAACTGGAACACTATAAAGGCAGAGGATGGAAAGTCACTGCACTGTTATGCACTTTTTCTGAGAGGCTGCTGTAATGCAATGAGGGATCTGCAGAACATGGAGGAGCTGGACCTGCCATCCAACCTACGGCTCATTCTTTCAAAGCTACCTTACAAACTAAGGGAGAAGTGGAGAACAGCAGCTTGTGATATTCTGGAGCGGAGCCATGAAAGAGCAAGATTACCTGACCTTGTTGTATTTATTGAAAGACAAGCTAGAATACTTCAAGACCCTCTCTTTGGTGACATTCCCGATCAACTTAACAGTACAAAGGCGGCTTTCAAGACCAAGACTCTTGTTGATCCATATCGAAATAAGAGCAAAGGGAGCAGTTTTGCAACCACAGTGGCTATAGTGTCAGACAGGCGTGCAGAGAAACTCAAAGAAGACAAATATCCTGTTAAAAGCTACATTTCCTCCACTAACAATGACACCTCATGTACTTTTTGTACAAGTAAACATCCTTTAGCTGAATGCCATAAAATACATTCAGTATCTCATGAAGCTAAAATTGAGTTTCTGAAAGAGAAGGGACTATGCTTTGGCTGCCTGAAGGTGGGGCACTTGAGCAGGAACTGTAACAGGAGAATGACCTGTCAAATCTGTCATGCTAAGCACCCAACTATTCTGCACATTAAAAGATCTTCAAAGCCTGAAACTGAGAACTTTAAACATGGTAAGGCAGAGCAGCAGAGTGGGGGAGCAAGGCCTGATGAGACATCCATCAGCAGTGCTCTTGTTTCAGTAGGAGAAGGTGAAGGAATCGGGGCTGGTAAAGACAGCATACTTGCCATAGTGCCAGTGAAGGTGAAACTCTGCCATGGAAATAAAAGCATACTGACCTATGCATTCCTGGACCCTGGTAGTACCGACACATTTTGCACAGAAGGGCTCATGAGGCGGCTTGGTGCTAGAGGACGGAGAACTGAAGTCCTTCTTCAAACGATGGGAACAGAGAAAACAGTCAGGAGTTTTGAGGTAACAGGTCTAGAAGTGGGACATATGGAAGATGGCACATATATAAACTTGCCCAAGGTTTACACTCAGAACAAAATCCCTGTTACCAAAAGAAACATTCTCACCCAGGCGGACCTCAAGAAATGGCCTTATCTGCAGGACATCCAAATAAAAGAAATAGATGCTGACGTGGGACTTCTTATTGGAGTAAATACTCCAAAGGCTATGGAACCATGGAGAGTTATAAATAGCCAAGGAAATGGCCCATATGCAGTGAAAACACTGTTAGGATGGGTCGTTAATGGTCCACTTAATGCTTCCACAGATCTGGATGATGAAACCCCTGTGGCATTAGTGAACAGGATCTCAATTGTTCACCTTGAGAAGCTAATTGAAAGACAATATATTAACGACTTTCCAGAGAAAGAGTATGAAGAGGAAAGACAAATGTCAGCTGATGACCGAAAGTTCATGCAGATTGTATCAAGCTCGGTTTCTCTTAAAGATGGCCACTACAATTTACCTCTTCCTCTAGATAATCCAAACATTATCATGCCAAACAACCGCCAAATGGCAGAGCAACGAGCAATGGCACTAAAAAGGAAATTCCAGAAGGATCAGACCTATGCAGCTGAGTATAAAGGCTTTATGAGTGACATTATCAAAAAAGGATATGCAGAGAAAGTACCATCGGACGATCTACATGTGGAAAACGGCAAAGTGTGGTATATACCCCATCATGGTGTCTATCATAAACGTAAAAAAACGATCCGTGTGGTCTTTGATTGTGCATCATCCTATAAAGGCAAATCCCTCAACAGTGTACTCCTTCAGGGCCCTGACTTGGCAAACTCATTGATTGGTGTTCTACTCAGGTTCCGTCAAGAGCCCATCGCCATTATGGCAGATATTGAGGGGATGTTTCACCAAGTGCGTGTAAACGAGGAGAACATAAACTTGCTGAGATTCCTGTGGTGGCCTGAAGGAGAAACCAGCACAAATCTGGAGGAATACCGGATGAGGGTCCATCTCTTCGGAGCTGTTTCCTCTCCAAGCTGCGCAAACTTTGCATTGCGAAGAACAGCTGAGGACAACTGTGGCAAATTTGATGGAGAAGTGGCAGAAACAATCAAATCAAATTTCTATGTGGATGATTGCCTCAAGTCGCTAGCAAGAGAAAATCAAGCTATAAGCCTTATTAGGTCTCTCAGAGAAATGTGTTCCCTTGGTGGATTCAAACTGACGAAATGGATAAGTAATAGTCGAGTGGTGCTAGAATCCATCCCTGATGAAGACAAGGCTAAACAGGTGAAAAACTTGGATCTGGACAGGGATAAGCTGCCACATGAAAGAGCACTAGGGATGTACTGGGACATTGAAAATGATATATTCAGTTTCCGTGTGACTGTGAACAACAAAACCCTTACAAGAAGGAGTATACTTTCCACTGTCAGCTCTGTGTACGATCCTCTTGGTCTTCTCGCCCCTTTCATATTGAAGGCAAAGCAAATACTTCGATTACTCTGTAAAGCCCAATATGGATGGGATGAAGAAATTCAGGTGGAACTCTCAAAACCATGGCAGAAATGGCTCAAGGATTTAGACCAGCTGGCAAGATTCCAAATTGACAGGTGTGTAAAACCCAAGAACTTTGGAAGAGTGAAAACTGCACAGCTACACACCTTTTGTGATGCAAGTGAAGAAGGATACGGTACCGCAAGTTACCTGAGATTCACCAATGACATGGAGGAGGTACACGTAGCCTTTGTGATGGGAAAATCAAGAGTTACCCCACTAAAAGTCATGACAATTCCAAGGTTGGAACTCACTGCTGCTACATTGGCTGCACGAATGGACAAAATGCTCCGATCAGAGCTACAAGGAGAGCTTTTAGAATCAGTATTGTGGACTGACAGCCAGTCAGTACTGAAATATATTCGAAACAGGACTAAGAGGTTCCACACTTTCGTGGCAAACCGGATTGCTGTTATTCATAACCTCACAAAAGTGAACCAGTGGCGGTTTGTAGACACCAAAAACAACCCCGCTGATGACGCTTCAAGAGAACTGAGCATTGAATCCTTTTACAGTTCAAAAGGATGGCTTCACGGTCCAGAATTCTTGAAGAAATCTGAAGCACAGTGGCCAAGTATTCCAAAAGAACTTGGTTCTCTCCTTCCAGATGACCCTGAAGTACGCAAAGAAGCGATTGTCACCAGCATTGTCACATGTAAGATGGAAAAAACTCCAACAAGTAAGCTCTTGGACTATTATTCTTCATGGAATGACCTAAAAAGAGCTGTTGCATGGATAATGAAATTAAAGACAATCCTCCTGCAGATGAGAGAAAAAAGAAAAGATGACTCCACTGATCTTGGAGCAAGGCAGGATAAAGGAAAGGGACTGAAGGATCAGATGCTTCTGCTCAATATGCCTACAGCTAATGCACTAAGACTTTCAGTAGAGGACACAGAAAATGCTGAAAAAGCCATTATTTGCCACGAGCAGAGACAGCATTTCAAAGAGGAAATTGCCTTGCTGGAAAAAGGAAAACAGTGCAATAGAGGAAGCTCCCTATACAAGCTGGACCCTATCATTGATGCCGGGCTTCTGAGAGTTGGAGGAAGAACTAGAAAGATGGCTATGCCAACTGAGGTCAAACATCCAATGATTCTACCGAAACATTCTAATATCTCCAAGTTGATATTAAGCCACATCCATAATCAAGTTGGTCACTCAGGAAGAGGTCACATGCTCTCCAAACTCCATCGACGTTACTGGCTATCCGCTGCTAACTCTTCAGCAAGGAGGATCATAAAGAACTGTGTGTTTTGCAGACGCCTACAGGCTAGAGCTGGAGAGCAGAAAATGGCCGATCTCCCACTTGATCGAATAACACCTGATCTTCCACCTTTCACTCATGTAGGCATAGACTATTTTGGACCCATCGAGGTGAAACGTGGCCGAGCTCATGTCAAAAGATGGGGAGTAATCTTTACCTGCCTGGTAAGCCGTGCTGTCCACCTGGAAGTTGCCAGTCATTTGGATACAGCTGCATGCATAAACGCTCTTCGTCGATTCATCTGTCGTCGTGGCACAATAAAGAGCATCAGAACAGATCGAGGCACCAACTTCATCGGCACACAAAAGGAACTGGAGGAGTCTGTAAAACAACTGGATAACAACAAAATCAAGCAAACACTACTCAAAGAAGGAATTGATTGGACATTCAATCCCCCCTCCGGAGCTCACCATGGCGGAGTGTGGGAAAGGCTAATACGACTGGTTAAAAAGATCCTCCATTCTGTCCTGAAGGAACAAACATTGGATGATGATGCTCTGCACACCGCCTTGTGTGAGGTTGAGGCAATAATGAACGATAGGCCAATCACAACAGTGACAAACGACCCAAACGACCTTGAACCCCTCACACCTAATCACCTACTTCAGTTAAGAACAAATCCAATCTTGCCCCCCGGACTCTTTCAGAGAGAGGATCTGTACTCACAGAGAAGATGGAAACAGGTGCAGTACCTTGCTGACCTGTTTTGGAAGCGCTGGACCAGGGAATATCTTCCTTTGATGCAAGAACGGCACAAATGGAATACTATCAAAAGAAACTTCACCCCCGGAGACCTGGTCGTCATCATTGATGAGAACGCACCGAGGAACACTTGGCTCCTGGGACGCGTAGTTAAGACCCTTCCTGGTTCAAAAGGACTTGTTAGGAGTGTCCTGGTTAAAACCAAGACAAGTACGATCGAAAGACCCATAACTAAGTTATGTCTGCTCCTGGAGGCGACAGACTGAGCCTACTAAGCCTTAGCCTTTCAGTCACGTGCACCTCTGACTGTTAGACCAAAGGACTAGACTCTTGGTCTCCTACCCCCTCCCCATCAAAGGCTGCCTTTTGAACGCAGACCATTACAGACAATTAGTACTAGACCTACACACTCCAGTACTAGTCTTACATGGACTTGAAAGTATACATTACATTACATTACATTACATTGCATTTAGCTGACGCTTTTGTCCAAAGCGACTTACAATAAGTACATTCGACCAGGAAGACACAACCTTGAAGAAAACAGAATCATATAAGTATATCAGGTTTCATAGAGCCAAACATTTCAAGTGCTACTCAACTGGTTTTAGGTAATCCAGTCCTTTATTGGTATAAAAGTGCTTCGTTAATCGTTCTAGCGCTCGAAGTGGAGTCGAAAGAGATGAGTTTTCAGTTTGCGCCGGAAGATGTGCAAGCTATCTGCCGTCCTGATGTCAATGGGGAGCTCATTCCACCATCTTGGAGCCAGGATAGCAAACCCACGTGTTTTCGCCGATGGGAACTTGGGTCCTCCTCGCAGCGAGGGCGCAACGAGTCGTTTGGCTGATGCAGAGCGTAGTGCACGCGCTGGGGTGTACGGTTTAACCATGTCCTGGATGTAGGAAGGGCCAGATCCATTCGCAGCACGGTAAGCAAGTACCAGTGTCTTGAAGTGGATTCTAGCAGTTACCGGAAGCCAGTGAAGGGAGCGGAGGAGCGGAGTGGTGTGGGAGAATTTAGGAAGGTTGAAGACCAGACGAGCCGCTGCATTCTGGATGAGCTGCAGAGGTCGGATGGCACATGCAGGTAGACCAGCCAGGAGGGAGTTGCAGTAGTCTAGGCGTGAGATGACGAGAGCCTGGACCAGAACCTGAGTCGCTTTCTGAGTCAGCTGGGGACGTATCTTCCTGATGTTGTATATACAATATACATGGACTTGAAAGTATACAATATACATGGACTTGAAAGTATACAATATACTATGGACTTAAGTATACAAATATGCTACGGATGGACGTTATGTTTTGTTAAAATGACTCTGTTGATGTACTATTATTGGTAATTGCTATGTAATAAGCAATTAGGGGCTGGTATGTTAGAGCCATTTTACCTTTTGTTATTATTGTCTGAATGTTGGGCTTAATAATAATATAAATTAGATTATACTGTAAATTATTGGCTATTTTTGTGAGTCACATCATGGTTTAAAATGCATTAATTTAAGGCTCACTTATTATTTGTTATATGTGCGTCAGTATCACGTGCATGGCTATGCCTATATATGGTAGGTTGATAGGACACAGCTGGGGGTGATAGACGGGGAAATGGAAAAGTCTTTTGACCGTGTTCTTTTTGTTACTTTGGAAAATGATACACTTTTGAGTTACTATGAAGCGAAGAAATGTGTCCTCCTGTATGCACCGTGTGGATCAGTGAATAAAGCTCATCTGATTCAACTACGATCTCCGCTGAATTGTTTGGAAACAAAGAGAGGCGCGTCAAAACCCACAACCCCGATAGAGGTGGCTATTAAATGGTAGACAAGGATTAAAACGCCACCACACATGACATTGCAGGTCTGTCCTTCCTGGGAAATGGATGTGTCCCCATTATTCTGATCATTCCGGGGTTTCTTTTGGTTGGTTTGGATAAATGTATTTTAAGCATCCCAAATTGGTATCACAGCAGCTTGTAATTTCACAGAAAATATATACATGGTGAAATATACATATCTCAAAGTAACTGATTTTATGGAGGAATGTGAGGGATGCTTGCTTTCAGCCCTGTGGTGTGAACATGTTTCTCTAATGATGTAATTCCCTTTCCAGCCTCATGGGGAAGCTGTAGTTGAGCATTTAGAGCAGGAACATCACATGTTGCACTGATCCAGTTTTGCTCTGTACATTTAGGACTTTTTCTGCCGTGTATCCATGGGTTGGAATATCCTCACGACTAGGGGATGTGTTGCCATGAAATCTCATGTCCCTCTCCGGATATTTTGCTATCAGTTTGGTGATCCTCTGACTCTTATATAGCTCATAGTTTGGTTTATGATTACATACTTGAAAACTAATGACATTCCCATCAGATTTTGTACTACATGTATGTCATTAGTAGTGATTGTAGGGGTGTAACGGTTCACAAACATTTCGGTTCGGTACGTACCTCGGTTTTTAGGTCATGGTTCGGTTCGGTACAGCAGAAAAAATTATCACAAAACATAAAATATATATATATATTTTTAAATTATTATTAAACTATGAATAATGTATTCACTCAAATAAATACAAAATATAATAAAATAAACACTAAGGTGCAGCATTTCGATGAACTGAAATAATCTGTATTTGAACTTTACTGTACTAGTACTCACAAAACATAAACTATTAGTTTTGGGTTTTTAATTATTATTAAACTATGAATATTCACTCAAATAAATACAAAATATAATAAAATAAACATTAAGATGCAGCATTTCAATGAACTGAAATAATCTGAATTTGAACTGTACTGTACTAGCACCTAAGCAGCCAGTTTGACATTATGACTTGCTCTCGCTAGGGACAGAGATAGCAGATACAGTAAGGTAGTGCTTTGCTAACATGGCAACATAAGGATATATTTGTCGTTTGTAATAGCTTTGGCTCGGTCTGATCTTTTTGCGAGTGGTGGAGGCTTAAATGCTAGTGGGAGTTGGGTTTGCACTTCAGTCTTTTTTCTTTTGGTACCGGTGATATTCACGTTCGGGTGATGCCTTTTCAAATGAGTGCAAGTTTGATGTATTTCCAGCCGCGTAACCAATTTTGGTTGAACAATGCCGACAAACAGCTTTGGTTCGGTCCACCTGTCTTTGTCCGTCATCCTTGTACGTAACTGCGAAACCAAAATGTTCCCAAACCGGAGACTTCAATGATGCTGGAGGATTTTCTAGCTCAACTTTATCTGCGTTCGCCATTTCGACAGTTCCTCAAATTAATGACTACATTTGAACAAATCCCTGTGACCAGCTCAGTATGCCTCTCGTCCAATGAAATGACTTGGTCGCTCTATGACGCGTTGAACCCAATGTGAGCAAATTACTCTGAATGCTGCGACGCAGCACCTGAGATTACTTCCAAAAAGTTGTTCACGTTCTAAAATGTTTACATTTAACGTTATATTCGTTCGGTACACACGTGTACCGAACCGAAAGGCCCGTACCGAATAATTTCGGTACGGGGGTACGTATACCGTTACACCCCTAATTGATTGGCTACATTGAGATATATAAGAGGCTAAGATGTTTTAATTTCCAGACTTATAAAGTGTACCTGCAAGATGATCAGGATTTGGACAAATGAAAGAGTATACGGAAGAAATTACAGAGAGAAGTTGTTAAATAATTCCAAAAATGTTGTCATGAAGCAACATTTTAACATTAAATGTTAACACAGACATGTTTATATGATGTATTAATGAGAAACATATCTGTGTGATTCAGGTTTAGTTATTTTGACTGAGCTTTCATGCAACTCTTCCTCTTTGTCCTCATATTACAACAAATACGACTTTGGTTGGAGTGTAGCATGAGACTTAACATACTGAAATAAATGTGTGTGTGTGTGTGTGTGTGTGTGTGTGTGTGTGTGTGTGTGTGTGTGTGTGTGTGTGTGTGTGTGTGTGTGTGTGTGTGTGTGTGTGTGTGTGTGTGTGTGTGTGTGTGTGTGTGTGTGTGTGTGTGTGTGTGTGTGTGTGTGTGTGTGTGTGTGTGTGTGTGTGTGTGTGTGTGTGTGTGTGTGTGTGTGTGTGTGTGTGTGTGTGTGTGTGTGTGTGTGTGTGTGTGTGTGTGTGTGTGTGTGTGTGTGTGTGTGTGTGTGTGTGTGTGAAGCCTCAAATGAACCTCTGGCCTAATTCTAAGTGTGTGTGTGACAGCTAAGAGACTGGAGATGTTAAAGAGAGAGGGGGAATAGTGAATCATTTAACAATAAAGGAACAACGGATGAATAGGTGTCAAGAGGAAAAACGCTTCATTATATAATGCGATCATAAAGGAGGACAATGACAGGGACACTTTCAAAAGGACTGGATCACTCTCACAGCGCAGACATAAAGTACATTTACGTTATTTGCATGACAGATGGAATAAAACCATCAAAGCAAGTGAGAAAAACACAAATGTTCTCATTTGTCAAGGGCTATTGTTGTGCCTCTGAGCAATCCTCACTCTACTTTTGTTTGTTGTTTCCCAAGAGTTGATGTGTATGGTTGTTAAAAAGCAAAGCAACGTTTATCAGAGTTAATTTAGATGAGTTTATCATCCAAATGCTGTGACTTTAATTGAATGTTTGATAAAGACATGCCGGCTTCTGGTTCCTTTTCTGCAGATATAGGGCTGTCAGTCGATTCAAATAGTTAATCGCGATTAATCGCAAATGAATTGCACATTTTTTATCTGTTCTAAATGTACCTTAGAGGAATATTTTTCAAGTTTTTAATACTCTTATCAACATATGAGTGGACAAATATGCTTTATGCTAATGTTTATTATCATTTGAACAATGACAAATATTCTCATGAATATTAAACACAACAACCTCTGAACATTACAAATATTCGCCTCAATTCAACCTGGAACCTCTCTCATACCAATAATACAATACAAATGGTGTGTGTGTGTGTGTGTGTTGGATCGTTGGAGCTATGTGCAACTCAAGGCATATGCTCGAACGGGAGCTGCCTGGACGCTGCAATCATGTTGCGCACTATCCGTGCTGAGTGTGCTGACTTTTCGTACAATGTCCCACTGTCTGGCTTCCTGCATAAAGTCAAGTGCTCGGCGCAGTTGTGGCGAAATGTCGCTCCTCTGTTTTCATTTAAAGATCAAATGCAAAGTTTTTTTTATAATTGCCAGTAAAAATCGAAATCATATAGCTACAACACTATCTAAGATATTGCAGTATTAAAATCGGAAATAATATGCGTCTGGCAATGCGCAATATTTATTTTGTTCAACCCCCAACACCAAGTCCGACGATTTATTTTCTCAGCCGCTCCTCCGCAAGATGGCGTCGCGTGACGTCACAGTGGCCAAACAAACAAACCTTGGCTTATCGCTCACAGCTGCTTCCGCCGATAGTACAACTTAGTTTCGTTATCATGTCTGATTCTGAGTAGACTATAGACTAAAAGCTTTAGGAATCCAAACTATAACATATAATAAGTACCCTGTATCAAGATTGATGCAAAACAAGTGACGTTTGACCTTTTTAGAGAGGTTTAGAAAAATAAAGTCCAGGCGGACTCACCACTGGGTAATTTGGGAACCATCACAACCAAACACAATGCTAACAGTGAGACTCTGAATTAGCCCCGAGCGAAAAATGCTAACCTATTACTGCACCGAAATCACTCCTAGCTCCCTTATTACTTATCCTAGCTCCACATCCAACACATTGTTTATGATCGTAAAGACACAGAATCTAACGGTGCCCACCTCTATAAGCACCCACTTGGCTGAAAGAAATGAAAGCATGGCAGAGGGCTTTTTTGATGCATAGGCCTAATGAAGTGGTTAGAAGAATGTTGGGTTTTCTAAGTGCTCACAGTCACTTTTAATTGCGCGGGGGGCATTTTTAATTGGGCCAGGAGGAATAATAGTGGATTTAATCCCTATCATAATGCATATTGTTCACACTTTTCCGTTATGAGTGGAGGAGCGATGAATGAGCTGCAGATAAACTACAATGCTAACAGTGAATTAGCCCCGAGCGAAAAATGCTAACCTATTACTGCACCGAAATCACTCCTAGCGCCCTTATTATTTATCCTAGCTCCACATCCAACACATTGTTTATGATCGTAAAGACACAGAATCTAACAGTGCCCACCTCTATAAGCAATAAAACTGCAATTCCGTTATCTGCGTTATCTGCTGTGCTCCGTGCGCTTTGAAATCTAATCAAAAGTTGTTTACCTCAATTATTTGGCGTTTCTGCATCGCAGCTCTTTCGTTCTTTCAGTGGTTTCTTGTGCTGAAATATGGAGGGGACGGCTCCGGGTTTCAGCCTCCGACGTGCTATTAATGCTTCTCCACCAACAGACTTCATGATAGCAGGATCAACGTCGTATGCATCACACGCGAAGTGGTCAGAACACAACTTGCTCCATTTTGTCGGTTGCCATCCAACACGATTCACTAAAAAAATCCATTTTTTGCGGATGATTTGGTCTTTGGGAAATGCATGTAAAACTCTCCCAGATCCCGCACCGTTCGTACAACAAAAAGCTCAACAATAACCCATGTTAATTCAGTTTTCTTTTCGAAAAACATGTGACCGAGACTGCCGAGTCGGGATATTTGGTCCAGAGACTGTTTGGCCACTATTACGTCACGCACGCGGAGGCTGCTGGGAATTACATGTCAGAAATTCAGACGGCTTTGGGTCGAGTTTTGGATCAATAAAAAGCTTTTTTTTGG